GGTAAAGAAGGTGAAAAATATATATATATATATGAAGTAATACAAGAACTGAACTATTTTTCCTTAGCAAATTGGGAAGATAAGACACCAAGAGTTCCCTTTTTTGCTTGACAAATGGCACTTCTTTTCAGCAAGAGGCTAAGAATGTGCATGCTGAACTCAGACTAAATTGGGTTGGAATACTGGTTTCCCAACTCGCTAGCTATGTTAAATTTGCCAAGTTCTTGCTTAACCTTTACGCTTAATTTTCTCATGTCTTAACATCAGGAGGATGATACCCGCCATCGGAAAGCTGAAATGAAAATTGGAAAAAATGTCTTCACGGTGTATGGCACATCAGAAAGGATCACATGATGAGCCCGAATGACAATTACTCTTAGCGCACTCCTCAAGGGGGCGGAGGGTTTCTCAAGTTCCAGCACCAGAGCACCTTCGAGACTTAAGGGACACCAAGTCCCGAAATATTAAGTTTAAAAGGTGGGGGATTGTAGCTCAGTGGCAAGATCCTGGGTTCAATCCTCAGTTCCGAGTTTGGAGAGGGAATACGGGGTGCCTAAATTTGGCGGACATGGGGAGCTGGAGGGGTTCCTCGGAAGTTGGGACTGCAGGTAACAGCACTGAAGCTAACAGGACGTCAAATCTGCCCTTAGTTGAGCAGAAGAAATTAGCTCACAGACGGACAGATCCCTTTATCCGCCCTCTCGCCCATTTCACCTTTGCCCCCCTTCTCCTCCTCCGACACAGTCTCAAACCCGAAGTGCGTTTCCGTTGCTTGCTTCGCTTGAGACAAGAGTCGCACACCCAGCGAGCCGGCGCGCAAGGAGCTATGAAGCCACTGGGGCCCGCCGGTTCGTATCAATCGCGAGCACCCCCAGCCGCAGTAGCTCCATAGAACACGACTCCCGGGGGCCGCCATCTTGACAGTCAGGTAATAGGGGGCCGGAAAACATCTTGTTGCGTCACTAGACGGACGACGGGGGCCGGCTGGAGACATTATTAGCTGAACGCGCCCAAAACTCTTACAGTCAATTCTTTGGAATCTAGAGGTTAATCCTTGAACCGTAAGGCTCTTCTCTCTTTCAAAATCGAATTCAGAGTTCACCAAAAATGAGGGGATGTTAATTATTGAAACTGTTCTACCAATTTGGTTTGAAACTGTCTCATTGCTATTTGTTTCTCAATAAAATTATGAAAACAAAAACT